GGTGACCCAGAGGCCCAGCTGAGGAGACGCAGCCGGTTCTGGCCAGTGGGAGGACAATGGGCTGCGGAGTGAGGACCCAGTGACCCAACCACCCGGTTCCAGCCAGAGGACAGAAGCAGGGAGAGGAGGCCCCGGTTTACGACCCTGTTTACCTGGAGAGAAGACAATGGACAGAGGCGGGGCCTGGGGCCGGTGATCTCAGATGCCCAGCTGGGAAGCAGCGGGGCTCGGGGCTGGAGAGGGGGAGCAGGCAGAGGCCACCTGGATGCAGAGAGACTGAGATGTGCTGGGCTGAGGGAGGCCAGGCCTGAGGCCCTGAGAGTTTCCTGTGCCATGTTCAACTCTCAATAAACCCTCCTGTTTTATGCTGGCTGAGAGTCACTCCGGTCTAGAGAACAGGGTGGCATCAACCCCTTCGGGGGTGAAGGCCCGGGGGGTCCAGAGCGAGTGGACTCCCTGAGGGGGCCCACGGCGAGAAACAGGTGTGCTAGGGCTCCGAGAGGTTCGGCTCCAGGAGGTGGAGGGGCCTGACCCCGAGAAAGAGTGGACCCCCGAGAAGGGCTCTCTCACTAACAGGGGCACCCCCCACGGACTGCACGGGGCCAAGAGTGGGCACGATCTGTGAGTCTGTGACACCCCCATACACCCCTTTGCTCCTTCAGATACAGTGACACACACACACGCGGCACCGCTGCAGACACTGGCTGTAAGGCGAGCGTGGAGCAGAACAAACCGCGTTCAGCACAGCTGCTCCTTGGCCGAGTTGGGTTTCACCAGGGTCCCCACCTCAGCCCAGGGACTGGTTTGCACCTGTCCACAGGTGCCACTGGCTCTTGGCACCTGCTCACCTCCATGCGGCTGACACGCGCCAGCATCAGGCATGAGACCAATGCCCTAGTGTAGCCAAGGCCACGTTCACACACACCTGGCTCCGCACCTACTGATTCGCACACACAGCAAGCCCATGCGCACGACTCACTCACACACACACACCCCTCACCTCCATTCATTCAGTTCCACCCAGCGGCAAACACACACTCTTCCACACATATGCACGCTCATCAGGTACTCACTAGCAAATGGCTCCGCACAATAACCACCTGCCCCTCTCCGGTGCCTTCCCACTGTAGATCTCCAGGCCTTTTACAGACACGAATATTCATTCAAACCCTTTCCAGTCTCACCTCCCCGGGAGATCAGCCCATATTATTAACACCGATGGGGAAACTGAGGCACAGAATGCCCAAGTCTCCTCTCACACCAATTTTACAACAGTGGCACTCACTTGGCTTCCTTGGAGGATGCCCCTGAAATGCCTGTGCCAAGGAGGACAAGATAAAAACAACACAGCCATCATGCGTGAGGGGTTTGGTTTTTTTAAATTTAATAAAAGTAACTGAAAAGTAACAAAAGGAGTTGTTCACTGGCAGGTACATTGGATCAGCTCACACGACTGTAAAAGAAATGTACAGCATCAGGGCTCCGAGCGTCTAGCAACACAGCTCAGAAAGTAACTAGGAATAGAAAAGAGTCAGTACAAAAAAGTCGCTGTCGTTCACTCAATCAGACGAGAAGGGACAGACAGACAGGGGAGGCCGTGGGGACTTAACATTTTAAATTAGGGGCCAGCTCCTCCCCTGGTGTCAAACGCCATTGCTGGCCAAGCCCATCACAGCCCACGGCTACAGGGAACGAGTGGCGCCCGGCCTGTCCACGAGGCACAGCCTGGCAGAAAGCACCACGGGGCCATGCCCACCCCGGAGAGAAACATGTTCTCACAGGGGCATCTACACCCAAGCCAGGGCCCTCAGCCTGCCTGGGCTGGAAGCATCGAGGGGGTGGGGGGCACCTGTGTAACTTCCCCTCCCGCCCTTACCCCATAGCCCTAAAAATGGTCCTTTTGGGGGCGCAATCAGGCCTGATGTCATATGCCTCATGGACTGGTCGCCCCCCTCCCATACCAAACCAGCCATCTTGGCATGGCACCCCCATCAGAAGGGGCATTTCAGACCAATGACCCCTCCCTCTGCCAGGACCCAATGCTGCCAGAGGCTAAGCCCCTCTCGCCAGCCCCCCTCGACCCCATGGAGGGGCAAGTGCCTCCCGCCCGCAGCTCCCAGGATCGGGCCCTTTGACCTGCTGGGTGGGAGCGTTGTGGGTCCTGCTGCAAAAAGAGGCTGCCTGGCGAAGTGTGGGGGGGTCTCTTGCCCCCGCAGCACAACCTGGCCAAGCGCTGGTCCAGAATCGTCACACGCCCCTTGGGTCAGGGTCACAGAGGGGACCAGGCCGCAGAGAGGGCTGGCAGGACCCCCGCAGGCTCAGAGAGTCCACCATAAAGCACGGCAGCTCCAACGCTGTAAACACAGCACGAACCATCCAAATTGGCCGGCTTCTAACACGCACGCACACGGCAACGCCGACCCGACACGGACACCACACCGCTCAGCTCTCTAACAAACACGAGTCTAAGACACGGACAGTTCCAGGGAGGGGAAGGGGAACTATCACCACTCACCAAAAACAAAGAGAAGGGGGGGAAAAAACTTTCCACCTTGCGGTTGCTCAGTAGTTACATCGAATCATTATGAACACGTGTGTTTCAAGGAGTCTAATGCAGACGCTCAGAGCCGGGAGCGGACTAGGAGAGACCGGTGGAAATCAGAGATCGAACACGTCCATTTCTCTTGGGGGTGGGGACAGTGCAGGATAATTCGCTATAGTGTATTTTTGTGACACATTCCAGTGGTACATCGTCTTTAAATCCAGTTATTCCCACCCTTCAGTAGGAAACAGAGCTTGGGATAGAAAAGGGGTTAAGGTAAAAACTGTTAGCCGCCATCCCTGGCTAAGCCCCGCAGAGCAAATGTTAAAATTAACACGTGAGTGAGTCGTCATCAGAAGCGACATTCACACGCATTGGTGCCCATTTGCATGCACACGTACTCACGCATGCGCACACACGGAGGGGGAGGAGAGGGCCTCAGTGTCACCAACCTCAACTGTTCAAAAATCATCAGTCCAGCCCCCCCACCGCCAAAAATCAGGAGATTGTTTTTAAAATCTCACGACTTACGACTTGAAAGCCAATCATTTTTAGTTGCCCAAAGGTGTCGGAGCCTTTCAGGGTGGTGTTTCCCCACAAACATGAGGGATAGACACTTACTTGAAAAAAAGCTAAGAGTCTCATAGACTCACCTGACTCCGGGAGCTGGGGATTTGACTAATAAACAAACCGTGTGATAAAATGGCGAGAATTGGCAATTGTTGACAGACACACACACACACACATACACAAACATGCCCCCGTGGGTTCAGACACAGAGACACAAACTCACAGGGACAGACACACACACACACACCTGCATACAGACACAGGGAAACAAACTTACCCCCCACCGCCCCATTCTCTCATATAACCCCACAGTCACCTACAGATGCAAACCAGTCCCTGGGGCAAAAAGTCCCGCTGATTCACCCCAAACAAACCAGAACTTTCTGGGCCCGGGCCCGGGGGCCAAATCAACCAACTTGCCCAGCATGCCAGGTTTCTGCTGGGTGCTGAGTCCTTTGGATAATCTAATTGCCAGGCTGTAAAGCCTTCAAGCAAAACATTAAAAACCAACCACAAATAACCCCACCAAAACGCTCCGATTTCAGAGCCTGGTGTTTTCTCTTCTTTACACAGATGGCATTTTTTTAAACTAGGGACATAAACCCTCTCCGCCGTGTTATTGCTACTGTCTTCCAACGGAAATACACCCGGTGGACCGGGTTCTTGGCAAGAGACCTGGGGGTCACTCGCCCAATGGAGGTGGGAACAGAAAGGGCGGTACAGCTCAGGGGGCGCATTTTAATAGCAAGGAAGGGCCGGGGGAGGGACAGTTTGGAGAGCGCCCTCCCAAAGGAGGTCTGCATTGGAATTGGGGGGGTATCACCCCTTCCCAATGGGTGTCTCGCCCTGGCTCCCTCTGCCCCCCCCCACCATGATGGCCAGCCGGGGAGACCCTAGCAACAACTGCTTTTAAAGGGGCACTCCAGCCATTTGAGAAACAAGAACTTAAGGCCCAAATTTTTACAAAGGGGCCCCAAATTTGGGGTGCCTGACTTGCGATAAATACAGTAAGTCTGGGGGGGGGTCTCTGGCACCAGAGTAAGGGGGGCCACGGACAAATCGGGGGGAGGGGAGGTCAGAACTAACACTGACAGCAGTGAATGCTCCACCCCGTGGAAACCAGGCTCCAGGCATCCCAAGTCAGGCACCCAAAACTGGAAGCATCCCAGCTCCACGGGCAGCCACGGGGCCTGTGCGTGGACTCCCCTGGGTCTGGCTTGCCAGGGGCACACTGCAGCCAGGCCGGTTAGAAACAGGAGACGGAGTTTTGCCTTACGATAAAAAACTCAGCAAATAAAGCAACTGCAAACAGCCCCTTCTTTGTTTGCCTGCCCGAGCCAAGGCCAGGGCTCGGCCTTTGCCCTGCTGCAGCTGAGGCCTGAGGTAGTTGCGGAGACACAGAAACCTGCACTCCAGAGCGGAGGGAAGGACTTGTGGGCAGGGGCCGTGTGGATGGGAGTCAGAAGACCCAGCCACCACTGAAGCCAAGAGGAGACAGCATGGCTCACTGGACCAGGTACCCAGAGATTCTACCCCCCCCAGTCACCTTCGGCAAGTCACTTCCCCATCCCGTTGTGCCTCAGTTTCCCCTCCTGCCACTTGTGTATTGAGAGTGGAAGCCCTTCAGGGCAGGAACTCTCTGTGCATATACAGCACCTTGCACAACAGGCCCTTGATCTCACTTGAGGCCTCTTACGGCTTCAAGAATAATAACGATGTCGTGAGGTTCCCAGGGACTGCGGTGACGTACTGGCCAGCTGTTAGCTAGCGCTTTGCACCGGTCGATCTCAAAGCACTTGACCAAGGAGGGCAACAGCATCGCCATTATCGCAAGGGGAAACTGAGGCCCGGGGCTAAAATCACCTGGGGCAGGTCAGGAAAAGGAGGGCAGGACCAGTTAGCTTTAATATTTGATGGGGACAGTTAAGTCTGCACGTGGATTCGGCTAAAGAAATATGCAAGACGAAAGTCATTACCAAGAAAATAAATAAAGAACCTCCCGCCCCTTGCCGGGTTACTAACAAACCCGTCTGGTGATCAGATCAGAAGGCACCTGTCCTTCCCGCCTCGGCTCTCACACCCACGCAGGCAGACCAGGCTGTACGCTGTCCACACACAACCGCTGCCCCCCTCCTATTTTTACGGATCTTTTTTCTAATGGTTTTTGAGCAACAAACCCGACCCTAAACCGCAGAGCCAGCTGGCCCCCCATTTTCAGGATTACCGCCTCCCCTCCTCCTGCATTTGGCTGAGCGTCTCCGGGGCACCGGTTCAGAAAAATTCCACGAGCAGGGCAAAGTTGCGTTAGTATATAGAACGTCAGACGTGTTCGTTTCTATCTTGCAAAGCTGGGGCGGGGGGCAAAAAGTGGAGCCTACAGCCCTGTGAAAAGTTGGGGTGGGCAAACCGAGGTCTAGGGGTGGCAATTACTCCCCTTATCTGATAGCTTGTGATGCCCCTGGCTGGCTCCACCTATCCAATCATTATGGTCTTTATTTAATGCCATGAGTATTTTGCTGTCACTTTATAAATCCTAAAACCTACAGCTGGGGAATATGGTCTCAAAAGTCTTTATGTTACTTAACTCTCTAGGTTCCACCACATCCCCAAAGTATCTGAGAGCCTCACCTACATTAACAGATGGATTCTCAGCTTGCTCGTGTGGGGGAGTATTAACTTTACCTCATTGGACAGGTGGGGAAACTGAGTCACTGAGCCATTAAGTGACTTGCTCAGGCGGCTGGAGCAGAGCCGGGAATCAAACCCAGATGTCCTGTGTCCTACACCAGTGATGTAACAACAAGACCCTCCTCAAGGGTTCTGCCTTCAACCATTTGGACCTTAATGCTATTGATTTTCAGAGATGCCGCAATTCCCCTTCCATAGCCCCACAATCACATACTCTAAGCTGGGGGCGGGGGAGACAGGGCAGCATTTCGGACCGTCGCTGGGACATTTGCAAACGTTCAGATTGGGAGGGGGGAATAATCCATCCGGCTCAGAGCCGGGGGCTTGGTCTGGAAAGTGAGCTGAATTGTCGGCAGTGAGACAGCTGTGCAGTTGCTTGGTGCAGATCTCCCCAGAAGATTCCTTCTGTGCTTCTGCCCCGGGGCTCTGGGTCATCCAGAGCAGGGGCCCACTCCGGACGAATCCATCACGGGTTTTCGGTGGGAGCAGGTGAGGCAGGGCATGGGGTGGCTTCGTCTCTTTCAGGTAGGGCCTCGGAACCCTGCTGATTTTTGTATCGTGCTCCGGTGGTCCTGGGAGGGGCCTGATCTCCCGCGGCACCAAACTTGCCAGTCGTTTCCTCCGAAATTCTCCCCCCCTCCTCCCCCGGCCAGCCAGCCCCGAAATAACAAATCAGTCTTTGCTGGGGAGCAGCTGCGGATTCTCGGTGGGGAATTAGTGAGTTAGTCTCTAAGGTTTATCCAAGAAGCCCACTGAGCCCATCAGTGGACACGCCTCCTGCCCCGAACCCCAGAGACGGGTTAAGGGAGAATCTGATGCTCTAGCCCAGGGAGGTGATGGGCTCCGAACCCCCCCACACCCTCGTCCCCACCCTGCTGGCCTTGTGGGGAACGATGAAGAAAGCTGGCCAGGAACGCCTCTGTTCCTGAGCCGGTTGGTCCCTGTCGAGATTTCCCCTGGCCTAGGCCAGTGGGGAGAGACGCCCCGAGCTGCCTCCAGGCTGCAAAGGGGTCTTGCAGGTTGCTGCTGGAGGTGGTGGCAGGCACCTCTCAGCTCAGGCTGGACCGGGAAGGCGGATGCAGCCTGGGCATGGAGCGGGCAGCTGGGTGAGGAAGGGAGAAATGCGCAGGGATGGGGGGAGGTGCCAGCTGCCATCCCCAGATCTGTGCACCTCCGGCAGCATGCTTCACGCTGCCCTCCTCATGCCCACCTCCCTCTGCCGGCTGCCGGGATCTGGCCCCAGGCACAGCCCTGGGGCTGGCTTGAAGGGGGACCCGGTGCCCACTCTGGGCACTAAAGTGGCTGTGCTTGGTATCCTGGGCACTGCCCTGCCTTGGGCTGCTCTCTCAACCCTCCCCATGGCCACCCTAACCCTTCCTGGGAGGAAATGGGGGGTCACTGCCCCCCAGCCATGTGTCCAGGGCAGAGAAGGGTCCTCCACTGGGGGTGCCCCTCAGGAATGCCCGCAAGAAACTCTCTAACTCTGGCAAAGTTGGGTAAAACTCTGGGGGAGGGGGAAGGGGACGTTCAACAAGCACCCAGTTCCCTGCCTCACCGCCCCCTACTCTCCCGAAGACAGGACTGGAACGCAGGCAGGGGATCCGGGTTCCTTGGCTTTGAGACGTCGTGGTTTGTGCAGGAGGGAGGGCGGAGGGGAGGCGGGTCGGCAGTGCCCTCTGCGTGGGGGCAGGGTGGGGAGGCCTTCCCTCCCAGCATGTCGTCCTAGTAAACCCAGCTGACGGGGACCCACTGGGGCTCTGCCCGCAGCCTCTCCAGGGCCTCCTGCAGCTGCTGGAATGTCCACTCCAGGTTGTCGTTGACCAGGCTGAGGTCGAAGTAGTGCCCGTAGCCACGCTGGATGCGGCAGCTCTCATCCACCGTCCGCTTCAGATCCGCGTCCTGCCCAGACACAAGCCCGGATGCCGCCCGTTAGCCTTGCCCCGGAGCTCTGGGCACAGGGGAGGCTGGGTAATGAGCACACGCCTCCAGGAAGCCCGGGGTCCCGAAAGAGCTTTGCAGAGGTGCAAATGAGGCAGAGTTCGCTTCACCCACCACTGGGATGCAGCCACCTTTGGTGAGGAGCGCAGCTACAGGGATCCCAGTGCTAAGAGGCATCTACCTCTGGGGTGGAGCGTGGCAGCCTTTTATACAGAAATCCTAGAGCTGAGATGCAGCTACCTGTGGGGAGCGGCACGGCAGCCTTTTGAACGGCCCCCCAGAAATGCTACTCAGCCCTTTGGGACAGGAGGTGAAGACGGATCCTGTAGTCAACTGAAGACAGATGGGGGACTGAGGGAGGCAGAATATGATGAATTATAAGCCAGGAAAGGTTCTAGGGGCAGGGACAGCGCCAGGCACAATGGGGCCCATGTGCAGAAAGCATCCGTGGGAAATGTAATGATTGGCAGCTGGAGCGGCACAGCGCCCTCTAGTGCCATGCGGTGGCACTGCACGCAGCACGGGCTGGCGAATCCCAACCACGGCTCCCTGCCCTCGTTCTGTCTTCCCCCAGGGG